GGCACACAACCGCGTTCTCGGGCTTGTAGGATAGTATCTCGTTGACCGGACTTAAGGTTGTTGTACTCTGTCGTGTCCCCCTCTCTTCATACCAAATGGTACACCGAGTTGCCCTCTTCCATGATGCCCCAGTTACTTTCTTTGGTCGCCGCATCCGCACCGTCCGTACTGTATCTTTGCCATCTGCTGTATCCCTTATCGTCACGTCACGCGCATTATATTCATGAATCATTCCACGCATATGCACCAACGGGCCGAGCCGGGGAAGCCGTCAGTATATTTGACTGGTTGAGACAAATTCAGAGCCACTGGGAGCAACCAGGAGCGGATGGGCAAACATTTTGATCGATTATTGACCAACCCAGAGACAACCCAAGAACAACAAAATAAGGCCGAATCAACTCTCAACCGGTTAAAACACATTAAGACACTATTAGAACGGCAACCAACCAAGGGGAAACAGACTTAAAGTGCCAATGAACCACCCTTGAAACAATTTAACCAAAAGCCCCAACAGCCCCTCACCGGTTTGAAGGATTCACAATAACATGTCTGAACTGATTAAACAACACGTAAACATGTTGCATTGAGCAAGCGTCTCTTATAACATGGGTACCTTTGTTGAGTATGTTGCGGCAGGCCTAACATGTTGAAACCGATTATTTTATGTTAAAATACGTTGGAATATGTTTGGGAACATGGGCGGTTTTCCCTGATGTATATAAGTGGTACCTTCCTGTTGCGGCACAAAGCTCTTGGCGATCTGAGACCGCAGGCATGCCCGATGGACACACTACTAGACTGCCTTCGACGCTTAGACAGAAATACTCATATATTCCTATATTAATCCTATGTAGTACTGTTTAGTAGTTAGTCCTCTTCTAGCGTTGCACCTAACAATAACCATTCAGCGGTACTGGCCCACGCTTTCTGACAGAGAGCTCTCATGGAGGCTCGTATGTGTGCCTGACGATGAGCGTACGCGACCAACCCTTCCCGATGCTCTGCTGAGCGGCCTTCCCAAGCATCAGCGCGCTCCGTCCACCAGTTTCTTTGCCAGTCGTGGTACTGCAATACCCGCCTCATCTCCTCCTGAAGCAGCTGGGCTTCCTCTGTAAACCTGTGCGCGCGAGCACGCGTCTGGCACCACTCGATGCGCAGCACTGCAGTACGTTCCCTCATGAGTACTGCGTCGTGTTGGCAAGACTATCACTCACTTTCCTGCTCATCCTCATCGTCGTCACCGCTCCGTGCGCCCTTCGTCGTCCATATCCACGAGACCGTTCGTGTACCCTCCGTCTGCTCGTCTTCCTCCTCTGGATCGGGGTCGGAAATGTGTCGCACGTCCTTGTCTTCGAGTTTCTGCAGTCCAATCTCTCTCCTCCAGCCTGTCTTGTCCAGCGCCGGAGCCAGCCTGGTGAGAGCGTCGTAGCATGCGTCGTACTTTGACCTTGCCTGGGTGATCTTCGTTTCGCACCTCTTGATGACACCGCGCGCACGTGTATTGTGGTGTTGGCCACTGATGAAACGACCCTTCACCTCGAGTAGCTTCCGCCTCGCGCAGACGAAGCGGCGAACATCCTCCAGTGCGTCGTGGGCGATCCCCACTCGTAGCTCCCACTCGATCTCCTGCAGCTTCTGGTCGACAGGGAGCAGGTCTACAACGTCTGACGGCAGGTACAGTGGGAGGTCCTCCGCCAAGGACGAACGGTCTGGCAAAGCAGCGTCCCGAGAACGATGAGCCGCTACAGTCGGCATATACAACTGCTGTGCTGTCTGCCAGGCCTCAATCGTACGTTGTAAAGCGTTCCGGGTGACAATCACATCGCCTTTCTGCAAGTCTGTCGCGCGCGAGCCGAGGTTAGCTTTCTTTGCCTTGAGCCTGCGTCTGCACTAATTTGAGCTCAATATTCATGTCAGGAATCTGAATACTTACTGCTCTTCCTCGTGATCGAGGCCTTGGGACAGGAGAGCGTAAGGTGAGATGAGGTCGTCAAGAGAGGCAGCCGGCAGCGTATTCTGTTTCCTGGCCTTGTTTCGTGCGTCGATCTCTTCTGCCTCGCGCTCGGCGAGCTTCAAGCGAACGGCGGCCATGGTAATTGCTACAACACAAGCGTCGGATTGTGTATGCCAGATAGTATGCTGCGAAGCAGACTCACGCCGGCGTGTGATGGCAAACGGATTGGGACTTGCGCCGCCGGTAGACTCCCAAGTCTCAACCTGGGTCTTCCAAGCTGACCTGCGTTCGGGGTCCATCTTCTCATTGAATGCCTCGAAGGCAAGTACCTTCTTGCTGCGCTGTTCGCCGACATTCTTGACCTTCGTCAACATCGCCGCCGCTTATGAGGCAGTCAGACTGTAGAAAAAGCAACTACCAAGGAACAAACGTACGTAGCCGAGTGATCTTTCGCCAGTTATAATCGGCGAAGACATCGTCGAGCAGGTCTCGGCGCGCGCCCGGCCCCATGTCCCGCGTGCTTCCCGAGAAGCCGTTTACGGCGGACCATCCGCGTTCAACGGCTTCGCCGTCAGTGCGACCGACATACTTGGTGTAGTTGAATGAGTAGTCCTCGCGGCAGCTGGCCTGGTGGGCAGGGAGGTGAAACTTAGGGATGAGAAATATGAACTGGCGACGGGCGCGGTCCCACTGCGGGTCATACTTTTGCATGCGCTCCCAAAAATGGACAGACCATTGGCACGCAATGTCATACGATACGACCAGTACGACGTGATCGCTATCTCGAATGCTGGACTGAAAAATGTAGTCAGTGTTCACGTATCTGCAAAGTGACTGACATGAGTGATCGAACAGTTGCGCAGGAGATGAAATGTACGTAGCATACCTTTCCCCTTTTTGAAGATCGCCAACCGAGCATGGTCTCTTCATGTCGTGGCGGGTACATTCGATTGTTACGATGCCGGTAGCATCCGTCGTCTCGCGTCCCTTCGAGTTTACAAGCCTTACGGCATCATGGTTGTTGCAGGTGCTACTCGTCTCCTGCACGAGATCACTGTACTTCTGGAGATGTTCCTTGTAACCTGCCTCCTCGACGAAGTAAGCATAGCCCCGGTTTAGCCCTGGATCGCGTTCGTTGGTAGAGACTGCGCGGCGTTTGAGCCGGAAGTTTGCGTCGATGCCAACGAAAAGCCGGTAAAGCCACCTAAGAGCATAAATGCGGTCAGTATGCATCTTGAGTAGAAGGGTCAGCGTGCTTACTGTCGCTCAGGTGGTGCAGTCTGCCAGTCATCTGGCAGATTTTTGCCAGGGTGGGGACATGCCGGGCAAACGACAGCGCACTCGCCAGGCGCAGTCGCTTTGACTCCGGCGGCATCATGCCCGCGACCAGCCCTTTTGAACATGCGGAGATTTCGCCACATCCGCATCATCCGCATCAAAGACGGATAGCGGTCCTATCGAAAAAAGCGCCTCAGATGAACCGAGGCAGTCACACGGACTCGTAGCTTACCGGTGGAGGGTCCACGCCCGTGTTGTCGGTCAGGCGCGCAAGGGTCGTATGGAACTCGAACCCAGATACATTCGCTTGGATGGACAGGAGATGGAAGTGGCGGAGGAGGGCGAATGTAGCTGCAGTTTTGAGAGAGGTAGGTGTCGCTGGGAATAGCCTGGCGCGCAGAAGTTGCAGCGTGCGAGATTGGGCATGAGCACAGCCACAGAAGTCGAGCCCAACGCAGTGAATGCCTGAGACGTCGAGAACAACGAAGTCGTCCCCGAACGCTTTCTCCGGGTTGACGCAGGTCTCGCCGGGGGGGTGTCCAAGCTGAATTCGTAGGCCGAGACTCTTGAGATCAACCTTCGCAAAATACTGAGCATCGGCTTGCCACTTCTATAATATCTGTTAGCTTGTACCGGCCCCCGACGTCTCACACCCACCTCCATTCGATGAAAGGGGAGGGCCTGATGCTGACAGAGCACACAGCTCTGACAGTACATTCGGCCATCCAAGCAATCGTGGCAACGGAATGGTGATTCATCCGACCCGCATCGGGCACAGCTGGTGTCCGAGTATCCACAACGGCCTTCCAGCCGGAGCATCTCTGCTAGCCAATCATCAATCTCGGGGGTCCATTCACGGAGAGGGTTGTCCTGTGTGTGACCATTTCGCGTCAATTCTCAAGCTCAAGATCCTCACATACTCACCCCGGCTGTTCGTTTGCGTTTGACATGTTCATCGACGAAGTCCGCAATATCATGGAAGAATTCGATTTGCATGGTCTCAAACGGCTCGTCTGGATCATCACCGAGGTCCAAGTCTCCGAATACCGAATGAAGAGTCGCATCCGAAGGCTTTGTGGCGCTCGGTCTTTCGTGTGAAGCAGAGGACGCCGCGACAGACATATATGTCGTCCTTGCTGAGACATGGGCAGTTGAAGAGGCGTAGTCGATTCGACGATATACTTCTTCCTGTGGAGGTGCTGTTGGCGCAGGCCGTCGTCGATTTCGGGCGGTTGCCTCTCTGTCGTCATCGTCATCGTCGAGAAGGAGGGTCTCTAGACCATCTCGGCCACGTCGACGCTTGACCATGATGTCGATCGCCTGAGCTAGTGCATGAAAGGACAGTTGGTTGAGTCGGCATAGACAAATGATAGCTCAAACATACTCACCGGCCACAACAGCGTGAGATCACCAGGTGCGAGCGGGCAAACTGTGCATGGGGAGCCTGTCCACCTCGGTCCGAATGCGATAAGTTAGCTGCCGAATGTGTGCACTGAACAGGAGATTGCAGCGACAAATGAAGCAACTCGCATTGACCAGGTTGGGGATTGAGCCCGACAGCTGGCATGTGCACATATTTCTTCATCAGAAAAAAGCGAACGCGGTTCTATTCGAAGTCTTTAGCACCGGTGATCCATGGAACAATCTCAATGATTACCTGCACTACCACAACTTGACGACTTGATAATCGATATCCGGCTGGGCATCTCGGCATAGTTGGCATCCGTGAATCCTGGTCGGCCACAACACGATGCTTAGCTTGTGGTATCCCAATCAGAAGAACACGTCCGAGTAATGCGTGGCTTACCTATTAACAGCGATCAAAATACCGATAGACCGCTTGGCCCGGTGCCAGAGGGCGGGAGTGGTATATGTAATCCCATTTGGCCTGACGGCGGTCAGTTGGAGCTCCCTCCGCTGCTTACACTGTCCAGAGATATCCATACGACCACCGGCTACCTGACGTGGTTGGTCCGGCGTCCCTTACGCCACCTGAGCCACGGGCTTGGCTCCACTCCCTTCATGGGTATCACGCAAAGCAGTCCACGGTTACAGTATTGTGATCTGGAAAGAAGCTTCCTTGAGCGGCGCAATCTACATCCGGTCGGTCAAAGAAGCGTGCACTGTCACCGAGTACAGTGGATCAGCTTTTGCGCGCTCTTGATGTCACAGATGAATCTACGTAGCTACTCGGCTGCATAGCTCGAACGGTATATCATCCTGACTGTGCCGGATTGTCAGTGGAAGCAATAGGAGGGCTGGTGTAATGCATCTCACTGTAGGGCTCGATGCGGACTGGGAGGAACGGCGGCGACGATGGTCCTGGCGAAGGTGGAGGTCGCCTTCATCGGAGAAGACAGTAACGGTTGACGTCATGTGTGGCACTGATACCATGCCTCGAAGCAGCAGAAGAAGAGTAAAGTAGAATTGCTTTTCCCTAGTAGTGCGAGGCCCAAGGCCTGAGGTTCGGCATCAAGCCCTTGACGTTGACGCGGACGTGGCAAGAGGAGCGTCGGAGGCAAGATCTCTGATCCAGGTGGCGCCTGGTGCGCTTCTAGATTAGATAGAGACCGGTGCACTCCGGAGTCCAGGGTAAGTACGAGCCAATGGCATGCAGGATAACGGACGCACTGAATGCAGCGTCGACCTGTTCTCAGCGACAAGAAACAACTTGAAGGCCTAGTGGTCTGATAGAATTCTAACAGGGGGTCAGTTGAATCCACAGGAGTGAACAATAGTACCAATGACTATGAGAGTTGCCCTGCATGTTGTTTGCATTTACCGCAGTTGACAGACGGAGCAAGTGAAGTATGCATTAGTACCCGGCATGAACGTCAAGCTTGAACCGCAATGTATTCACAAAACGCACAACTCTCTCCGGCTGCATAGGACAAATCTATACTCCTTACGCTTGTGATACTACGTTCATACATTGCCACAGCAGCCGCCCTTCATTGTAACTGGTACTGTACTCATCCTCCGGTGTCACCATCAAGTCAATCTCCACTTTCAAGGTACAGACAATCTTAGCGGCCCATTCGCGTCCGATGTCCCAGACCAACTGCCCAATATTCCCTCTGGCTCTATCATCCGCATTCATATCCTCCCATGCACGCAAACGTGCAGACAGTTCACCGTTCCAGTATGTTACAACGGCCTCCTTGTCAACGCAATCTGACCACTGCCGCACGCGCGCCAACCCAGCCTCCTTTAGGCACGCGAATTGATGTGCGTGCAACGATCGCTCGAAAGCAGCCATGTCTTGTAATTCTGCTGGTTTCTCTCGGAAGAAGTCGTCCATTTCCCCCCATTCGGTATCCGCCTCCTCGTACGCCTCAGGTACCTCGAGAATGTACGGCGTTGTCCAAAGGCCAAGGTCCTCTGGTGCTTCGGGATCTTGGGCGGTGGATAGCGGACATGGTCTACGTGCGAGCCGTAGGATATCTTGTGCTATACCGGGTATGACGCGGTGGAAGGGACTAGGTATGATGTTCCCTTTACGAGCCGTGTAAGCCCGTTTGTTTTGAACGGCTTTGCGCACGCGGCCACTTAGAGCGAGAGAACGAGAACGCGTTGAGCATCATCACGCTCAAAGTACAATACAAAGTTGAATGGCGTACCGGTCTGACTGTGCATACTTCTTTTGCTGCTCACACTTAGCAGCTTTCTTTTCATCGAGGGTGAGATGACGAGCCTTTCTTCCCATGGTGTTGACTTCGAAGGCCTTGGTCGCCCACTATGTGACTACTAATAGCAGTACTACATGCGCGCTTCTCAACGGTACGTCATTGACTGCACGGACGTGCGTGACATACTCCGCAGCGTCCGCTTATATGCGGTGATGATTCCATAACTCGACATAGATTGACACGCGAGCGAAGGGGCAATACAAGGAAATTACTGATACGCAACGTTTGGACTACAATATGTTGTTTGCGACCAAGAATAATGTCGACACGCGCACACACTGGGTACGTTAAGCTCCCGGCTCCCCAAGAAGGACGTGTACATAGTATGCACTTAAGGTACGGGTACAATGGCAAGGTCGCGTGCCTCAACAGCATCCAGGAACGTGTCCAGGGCAAGTTCAAACGTATCGCAGCGCTTGTACTTGGAACCCGGTACCTCTACAACAAGGGGGGACACCGCAAGCCTGAACGACACGTCAGCATACGCCTGCTTGTTCAACCGTGGCGTTGCACATACCAATGATTGAATATTCCAATCGACCTGCCCCGCGTGACAGCGTAGTAGACGCATGGGTTAGGATTGATGTACACAGCCAGGGCATCTCGGACATCTTGAGGGAGACGATCGAACAGCGTGGGGCCACGCTCCTCTGGCGCCACAGGAGCGACTGCTTCTACCCCCTCGCAGGAGACCTCAACGGGGGTTGACGGACGAGTGGTCCCGACGCCTCGATCTGCAACCTCATACTCTTCGTCGTCATCAGGAGTGGTCCCGACACCTCGATCCTCAACCTCATAGGCTTCGTCGTCGTCAGAATCATCAGGCACCACGACGACGACGCTCGACCGCAAACGTGATCGACGGTCATTCACGGCCGCTGGAGCCGGTTCGGCTGGTGTGGTGAGATGTGAGTACATGACGGAGTGAAAAATAGAAGAGACACACCTAGCCCGGCATGACTCTCGCCAGCCAAAGGCTCGTTACTGGTAGGGTTAGCTGAGGGACCGACGTTAGCAAGGGCTCAGAAGTGAACGCCAACAGAAAGAGGATAGTATACCTGATCCTTGGTGCGTCACAGACGTTTGCATGACAACCGAAACTTGTTCGAGGGTGAAGAGGCTCGCCGGGTTGGGCGCAGCTCCCTGCTCCGAGTCTTTGTGGTCTACCATGCTTGACGGCGAGTTGGGGGCAGAGGCGGTGGACTAGGAGTTGACTGGGCAGAGGCGGTGGACTAGGAGTTGACTGGACGACCCAAACGACAGAGAAGGATCATTTATGAGACCCACTTGCCTCTCGGCGGCTGCCTGATTCGACTGGACTGCCTGATGTACGCCCGAAGAGGCTCTGGCTCTGGAAGCCTCGGTGACTCTGCATCTAAACACTTTGGGACGTATGGCTACTCGCCGCGAGGACAGTGATGCCTCGCGGTGCACCCATATGGTATGACGCCGCCACTTGAGGACCACGAGCTCTGGGGTTGAGCAGTGGGTTGCCATGTAAGCTTAGATTGCTCACAGAATTGGCCTTTGATATCCCGAGGTCGCCGCCACAGCCGTTATGAGCCATATCATTCGAGTAGATGTTACTCACCTTTACCATTTTGGAAGAGATGGCGGCATTGCCTTCCACCGATCCCCTCGAACGTTCTGAAAAAGAGGAGCCCTCACCTCACGGCATCATCTTCGATGAACTGATGTTTGCCTCTACTGCCCACGGAGCGATGTATTGTCTGGTGCCCGAGACTGCGTCCTCGAGGGGCCGAAGTCCTCGCTGATCTGATCTAAAGCATATGAGTTACTGGATACGAACCTACTGCGACACGCGGTGGCGTTGCTCCTTCGCAGCCTTCTGTGGACGAGCGCATCCAGAGTCTTTGAGGCGCAACCATCACCTCCGGCTCCAAGCGGAAGCAGACAATGGTTCTCGGACTGTCATGAGCATACGGTAGCCTAACCTTTTCCGATGAAGCTGACATGAATGAATCCAAAACGAGAACGCTCACCAAAAGCGAATCCGTAGCCATCGCGCTGCAGTGATCACCGCTCTCCCTAATCTGCCGACTGCGTCTTCCTCCCCTCTGCGCTCAATGAGCCTGTGGCTTCAGAACTGTCATGAGCACACGGTAGCCTACATCAATGAATACTAAACGAGAAAGCTTACCCAAATCGTGCCGCAGTGATCACCACTCTCCCTAATCGGTCCAGTGCATCTTGCTGCCCTCTGCGCTCAGTCATATATCGCGAGCCTCAGCGCGATGTATGAAGCCCCCGCTACGCACCTCTGTGGTACATCGAACCAATATGTCCCCTCCGCTGTGGGCTACTCCTCCTCAGGCAGCGTTGTTGACGTCGTTCATTCCGGAGCATCTGGAGCGTCAGCTCGAGCAGAAGCTTCTCCGCTTCTGGCCCAAGTTATTCACTACTTGGTTTGCGGCGTTTCCCGAGGAGCGAGTGTTGTTTCCGGACATGAGCGCGGATGAGCTGTTGTCCGAAGAGCAGAAAAAAGCAGTTGGCGCAGCCATTGCAGCCCGGAAGAAGGTATGTGTCCTTCGAGACGCAATTCACGTGGCTGGTTAAGACTCCGCTGACACTACCTCCTAGCAACTGAAATCGTGGTACGGAAACCGGTCGGGGCAAAAGGGCCGCAAAGCCCGAGCGAAGCCGAAGGTCTCCCTCAAGCTGCTCAAACCGTCAAAGAAGCGCTCGCTGGCCGCCCACGAACTCTACAGCCAAAAGAACTACGACGAAAAGATCAAGCCTATCCTGCAGGCTCGGATTGACTCCGGCGAGATCAGCACCAAAGAACGACTCAAGTGCTCGGTGGAATTGGCGAAGACTCTTCTTGCGCAAGAACCGGCAGAGGTGCGGGAGGAGATTGAGGCGGAGGCGGCCAAGCTCAGGGCTGCGAGGAACGCCTTAGGATCGGAAGGTACTAAGGACACAGAGTTTGATCCACATCGCGTTCAGGCGTAAGTTCCCCTCTTGCATTTGACGTGCAGGAGGACTGACAAGGATGACCACTATAGGGTCGTCGACGATATGGGGTCTATATTCACACAGTTCTTCGACAACATGCATGCGATGACAGGTGGTAGCTGGTTCTTTTTCACTATGGGATGCGGTGTCAACCCCGATGGAGGATATCGCTTCGAAATCAACACGTAGGTTATTCACCAACCCCGGTCTTCGCTCGAACTGACACGAAATGTTTCGTCCCATGGGCCCAGACACAGCTCCGGTGTCGCTGCTGGTAACATCTCGTTCAGCCAGGCCAACCCGGAGGCCGTCGCCGCCCTAGGAAAGGCATTCCTTGCGTGGGTTAGGCAGGCGATGTGTATGTGGTTGCGGTTGTGTCCTGACCTTGCCCAGTTACTCACGTTTGTGTAGCTCCGCAGATCTACGCGCACATCAATCGTGCGTTGAATCGCAGTAGTCCCGACAGCGATGATGGCGGCGAGGGTGTTGGCAAGGACGGCGGCGAGGGCGGCGAAGGCGAGGACAAGGGCGAAGGCGAGGACGGCAAGGACAAGGACGAGGGCAGCAAAGACGCGGACAAGACCAAGGGCGAAGATGACGAGGACAAGGACAAGGACGAGGACGAGGACGAGGGCGGGGGCGAGGGCAAGGGCGGGGGCGAGGGCGAGGGCGAGGGTGGGGGCGAAGTTGGCGAAGATTGTCACGACAAAAGGCATGAGGCGAGCGACGTGCTCGACCATGCTGGAGCCGTGGCTGGGGAAATCAACGCAGATGCGTTGTCTAGCCACGATGGAATGGGTGATGGACAGTGGGCGAGTGGTGAGCAATACCAGATGGCTTTGGGCGAACCCAGTACATTAGCACTTCACTTCGGGGTTGCACGCTTTAACACTGTGCACCAGACACCGGAGAGACGGGCGCCGTGGCAGCTTCTCCTACATTGCTCGCTGTGCCAAACGCCCTTCTACCTGGACCGACAATTGACTTTACGAAGACCTCGGCTGAGGTAACACCTCCCGTGGCTCAGTCGACGTTCGACTTCACAGCGTCGGATTTCATGGAAACAAGCCCGATCATGAACCCACTGTACCCTGATCCTACCACGTTTGTCGGCGACCCCGGCTACTTCTCCACCGCCCTTGTGGACGCTGTGACGCCCGATGCTGCGTATGGCGGCTACATGGGTGCGGGCTTCACGCCGGGTCTGGGCGGCATGGCGGCGATGCAAGGAGGGTATGATTATCCGCTGCCCGCTGCAGGGGGCATGTACGCCGACAGTTCGTTCTATGGGTCATATCACCCGGGTAACATTCTGAACCCTGCTGCGACGTCATTCAACGGCCATCCGCCAGCTCTCTGGTTCAACAACCCATACAATCTTCCGCCTGCATATCCGATGCCTGGCCTCGGGACCGCAGTGCATATGGCTACTTCGAACATTCCCTCCATGACTGCCGTACCGCGCGCGCACGCCGCACTGCCCCCAGTTAGCTCTTCCTTTGCTCCTACCTTCGCTCTTGCGACCGCAGCCATGCCGTCGACCCCTGCCGCTGCGGCCGTGCCGTCGACCCCTGCGACGCCTCCTTCTACAGCTACCGCTCCCACTGCGCCCGCTGCCCTCGCCGCTCCTATTCAATCTGTATCCGTCGCCGACCACCCCGTACAGGCAGATACAGTTCTACAGGACACTACATCAAAGGTAAACAACGCTCCGTCCCTGCCTGCTACTCAGGGAGCAAGTGCTATCTCCCAGCAGCAACCGGTGCCTACCACCAACGATGGGCCAGTGCCGGTGGCAGTTCCTGACGGTGGAGCCATACCGACTACGCGTCCTCAACGCCAACACCGCCTGCCCGACCGATTCCGTGACTCTGTCGACGGGGCGCCTGTGGGCAAGAAGGAGAACATGTCGCTTGACAAGGAGAACCCGTCGTCGAAGGGCACTGGTGCGAAGACGAAGAAGAGGAACGCCGGCGATGCCGATGCTGGCGCGAACGTCCCCAAGAAGAAGCACCGCGGCAAGTAAGTACGTACCTTCAGTGTTTGATCTTCTAATGTTCCTTGGCTGCGTGCGATCTTCTTGAGACTGTAGTCTTGTCACCGTAGTAACATAGTCACTGTAGTAATGTAGTCCTGTCACTGTACGGTCGTGGTGTATGATCTAGCAAGTGTCGTCGCAGCCGACGAGACTTGTTCCTTTGTGCGATGAATGGTGGGGTGGTGGCGGTGGGGGGTTTGATACGAGAGAAGGCACCTGCAGTGCGATTTATACGTGGAGACGGCAATGTATGACTTGTGCGAAGTATGTATAACCACGGTGTCATACATCAGTGTACACGTGCGGCACATAAGCGTAGCGTCATGTACCGTTATATACGCATCCGGCGCACAAGCACGGCGTTATTTATTGATGTATGGTGTACGCCCACGGCGCCATACAACCGTGTACGGCGCATAAGCAGAGCGTCATGTCCCATAATATACGGCGGACGCTTACGCCGTCATACACCAGGGTACGACGCACAAGCGCGGCATTATGGATTGATAATGTATGGTGTACGCCCACGGCGCCACACATCAGTGTACGGCGCATAAGCAGAGCGTCATGTACCGTAATATACGGCGGACGCTTACGCCGCCATGCATCAGTGTACGACGCACAAGCACGGCGTCATTTATTGATGTATGGTATACACATCAGTGTACGATGCACAAGCGTGGCATCATGTATTGTTTTGCATATGGCGTTAACGTCGAGTACAACCACCACGGCGCCATTATCGATGTAAGGCACAAATCCGCCACATTTGTTGGAGTCCGTCATTCATACACGGGCGATGCACCAGCACCCTGACTGAGGACAGGGCAGGTACAGAGTAGAGCAGCATGGGACGGGGCAGCAGGGGGCGTGATCCAATCAGGGCAGTAGATAGCCTGGGCCAGCAGCCGAAACGGATGTCGCATAGCCACGTCGCAGCGAAGGGCACGCGAAGTCCCAACGTAGGTGGCGTCGCGGCGAGCAGGCTGGGTACACTGGCAAGTTCCAAACGATCCCGATCCATGCGTCGAGCAGTGCGCGGTTAGTGTCGGGGTGAGCGCGCTAGCGGGGCAGCCAGGAGCAGTGCGCGGGCGGTCGGTAGCATTGCCCGGAATGGATCCGCCGGCGAGTAGCAACGTGGTAGCGTTGAAGGCGGCCCAATCAGGGCAGCGGGCGCCGCCGGCGCATTGATGCGGCTGGTATATCTATGACTCACCAGAACCCTGGCTGCAGCTGCAGGCAGCAAGGGGTAGTAGTCCACGGAGCGCAGGGCAGCGGCGGCGGGACTGCGCAGGGCGGCCCGACGCGGGGGCAGCGCGGGGCGGGATTATAACGGGGCAGCCCGCGCAGGCGGTCGCATCGCCCGGAATTGACCCGTCGGGCAACCACGTGCATTCGCCGCGCGAGGCGCGATCCCGACGAGGGCGGCAGTGGTGAGGGGAGGGTGTTCAATTGCCGGGGGCAATGTAACACGGTGTCTGTACATGGCATCGCCCGGGATAGACTCGTCGGGAAACCACGTGCATTCGCCGCGCGAGGCGCGATCCCGACGAGGGCGGCAGTGTTGAGCGAGGGCGGGCATTGCCGAGGTAACAAATCAACGCAACCATGAATCAAACACGTTCAGGCAGTACAATGTATCGCGCGGTATTCCCATACATCGCGTCATACAAAACAAGCGCAAAGGCTCATACAACGCGTGGTGGAGTACTGATACAAGATTACTGCAGCGGCTAGGCGGCGCGATGTATGTATTGTATTTGCGCGCCACGTAGCGGTAAATAGTATATGAATATGCCGACTACGACTGGACCGAGCTCACCTCTGCCTTTGTCACGAGACCGGAGATATTCTGACATTGTAGTCGGTGGGATGGCGGGCAAGACGGGCAAAGAATATGCCAAAGACAGACCACCTGAATACATGTTAGAAGCAAACCCAAAGGTTCTGACCATAATCGACGTACGCCCAACCGATGGTCACGAAGAGAGCCGAAATGAGCTCGCGCTCTAGGACGGAGATGAACGGGTTGGCGGGTGGACTGAGGGCGTCTCGATGCGAACATGACGGAGAGGGGGGGGCATCGCGGGGACCGTGGTAGGAGCCGTATGGGGGCTCATTGTCGTCATCGCCGAGACGGGGGTCGTAACGTAGGTTAGCACGCCAGCTGATGTCGAGGAGGTCCAGATATTGAGAATGGAGAGGGAGAGATGGTGGAGGCACGGGAGAAGAGGGAGGTACTCACATGCGGGAGAGGGGCACGCCCTCCGAGTCGCCAGAGGCAGCGGAGAGGGCTCTGCGAAGTGGACGCACTCCGGCTGGGGGCGGTCGGGGTCGGCGGGCGGGCGATCGTTGTCGTCCTGGCCCGGCGGCGTCGGGCGAGGGGGCTCGTGCACAAGGCAGACTGGGGCGGCCGGGGCTGTTATATATGGGCGTCGGACATGACGGGGAGAGGAGCGGGGAGCGCGCAGAGACGTGCCGCGGGCAGGAGCGGACAATGGGAAAGAAGACAACCGCTCACCAACGCGCTTCCTGTCGATCAACACGCCGCACGTGCCTCCCTCTTCCTCTCCCCGCCGGCCATGGACGACCCAAGCCGCCTGCCCCTGCCTCTGCAAAGCCTTCTCCGCTGCCCTCGCGACCCGTCGCGTCTGGCCCGCCCACAGACCCTTCAGCGTCAACTACCGCGGTATGTCTTGTCTGATCTTCATCCGCCACCCTACCTTGCTCACTCCGGACAGGCGTACTCTCCGAGGCGTGCCCTCGAGTAGACCGAGGAGTGCGTCAGCGACACGCTCACCAATTGCGGCGATGCATTCATCCGTGGCAACAACGGTCCGTCTTCCTTTCTGCATACACCTTCTCCCACTCGCTAACCCCACTCAATCCCCCACTGATGCCCGTTAGGATACACTCGAGCACTTGCTCGACGCATCGCGCGAGGGACGGGCCCGGACGGCGCGCGTTGGAGCGACGTCATAAAGGCCTCGCAAGCACATGTACAGCGGTGGCGGTAGGGGGCGGCTTCTTATTTCCTGGCGAGCTCTTATGGGCCGTCGAACGAGGACTTGTTCCTGCTCATCGGGATGTTCAACAAGGTATGTAACCCCTCGTCCTCTTGTTTGCGTTCTGCTGACCGCCTCTCTAGCAAATATAACAGGTCAAAACTGTTCCGGAGCCTCCGCCCGACCAGCTTGACCTCGAGATAAACCGAGAATGAAGAGTTCTTGCCCGACAAGCTTCGCGCGCACCTCGCGCGTCTGTGCATAACCGTCGTATGTACCCACCTTCTGCCTGGTATGTTCAAGGGACTCGGGAACTGACTCAGATTGTCAGTGTCGCTGGCTTCCGCAAGCGCATCGCGCGTATTCGCTCCTGAAACGAGCTGCGTAGGACAGCAGGTTTTTGCGCCGTACGCCTCGATCTCCTTGTACTCCGTTCTTACCCTTCCCCGACCCTCCCGCCTCGCAGGCCTACTATATCAGTCGTAGTCGGCATATTCATATACTATTTACCGCTACGTGGCGCGCAAATACAATACATACATCGCGCCGCCTAGCCGCTGCAGTAATCTTGTATCAGTACTCCACCACGCGTTGTATGAGCCTTTGCGCTTGTTTTGTATGACGCGATGTATGGGAATACCGCGCGATACATTGTACTGCCTGAACGTGTTTGATTCATGGTTGCGTTGATTTGTTACCTCGGCAATGCCCGCCCTCGCTCAACACTGCCGCCCTCGTCGGGATCGCGCCTCGCGCGGCGAATGCACGTGGTTTCCCGACGAGTCTATCCCGGGCGATGCCATGTACGGACACCGTGTTACATTGCCCCCGGCAATTGAACACCCTCCCCTCACCACTGCCGCCCTCGTCGGGATCGCGCCTCGCGCGGCGAATGCACGTGGTTGCCCGACGGGTCAATTCCGGGCGATGCGACCGCCTGCGCGGGCTGCCCCGTTATAATCCCGCCCCGCGCTGCCCCCGCGTCGGGCCGCCCTGCGCAGTCCCGCCGCCGCTGCCCTGCGCTCCGTGGACTACTACCCCTTGCTGCCTGCAGCTGCAGCCAGGGTTCTGGTGAGTCATAGATATACCAGCCGCATCAATGCGCCGGCGGCGCCCGCTGCCCTGATTGGGCCGCCTTCAACGCTACCACGTTGCTACTCGCCGGCGGATCCATTCCGGGCAATGCTACCGACCGCCCGCGCACTGCTCCTGGCTGCCCCGCTAGCGCGCTCACCCCGACACTAACCGCGCACTGCTCGACGCATGGATCGGGATCGTTTGGAACTTGCCAGTGTACCCAGCCTGCTCGCCGCGACGCCACCTACGTTGGGACTTCGCGTGCCCTTCGCTGCGACGTGGCTATGCGACATCCGTTTCGGCTGCTGGCCCAGGCTATCTACTGCCCTGATTGGATCACGCCCCCTGCTGCCCCGTCCCATGCTGCTCTACTCTGTACCTGCCCTGTCCTCAGTCAGGGTGCTGGTGCATCGCCCGTGTATGAATGACGGACTCCAACAAATGTGGCGGATTTGTGCCTTACATCGATAATGGCGCCGTGGTGGTTGTACTCGACGTTAACGCCATATGCAAAACAATACATGATGCCACGCTTGTGCATCGTACACTGATGTGTATACCATACATCAATAAATGACGCCGTGCTTGTGCGTCGTACACTGATGCATGGCGGCGTAAGCGTCCGCCGTATATTACGGTACATGACGCTCTGCTTATGCGCCGTACACTGATGTGTGGCGCCGTGGGCGTACACCATACATTATCAATCCATAATGCCGCGCTTGTGCGTCGTACCCTGGTGTATGACGGCGTAAGCGTCCGCCGTATATTATGGGACATGACGCTCTGCTTATGCGCCGTACACGGTTGTATGGCGCCGTGGGCGTACACCATACATCAATAAATAACGCCGTGCTTGTGCGCCGGATGCGTATATAACGGTACATGACGCTACGCTTATGTGCCGCACGTGTACACTGATGTATGACACCGTGGTTATACATACTTCGCACAAGTCATACATTGCCGTCTCCACGTATAAATCGCACTGCAGGTGCCTTCTCTCGTATCAAACCCCCCACCGCCACCACCCCACCATTCATCGCACAAAGGAACAAGTCTCGTCGGCTGCGACGACACTTGCTAGATCATACACCACGACCGTACAGTGACAGGACTACATTACTACAGTGACTATGTTACTACGGTGACAAGACTACAGTCTCAAGAAGATCGCACGCAGCCAAGGAACATTAGAAGATCGAACACTGAAGGTACGTACTTACTTGCCGCGGTGCTTCTTCTTGGGGACGTTCGCGCCAGCATCGGCATCGCCGGCGTTCCTCTTCTTCGTCTTCGCACCAGTGCCCTTCGACGACGGGTTCTCCTTGTCAAGCGACATGTTCTCCTTCTTGCCCACAGGCGCCCCGTCGACAGAGTCACGGAATCGGTCGGGCAGGCGGTGTTGGCGTTGAGGACGCGTAGTCGGTATGGCTCCACCGTCAGGAACTGCCACCGGCACTGGCCCATCGTTGGTGGTAGGCACCGGTTGCTGCTGGGAGATAGCACTTGCTCCCTGAGTAGCAGGCAGGGACGGAGCGTTGTTTACCTTTGATGTAGTGTCCTGTAGAACTGTATCTGCCTGTACGGGGTGGTCGGCGACGGATACAGATTGAATAGGAGCGGCGAGGGCAGCGGGCGCAGTGGGAGCGGTAGCTGTAGAAGGAGGCGTCGCAGGGGTCGACGGCACGGCCGCAGCGGCAGGGGTCGACGGCATGGCTGCGGTCGCAAGAGCGAAGGTAGGAGCAAAGGAAGAGCTAACTGGGGGCAGTGCGGCGTGCGCGCGCGGTACGGCAGTCATGGAGGGAATGTTCGAAGTAGCCATATGCACTGCGGTCCCGAGGCCAGGCATCGGATATGCAGGCGGAAGATTGTATGGGTTGTTGAACCAGAGAGCTGGCGGATGGCCGTTGAATGACGTCGCAGCAGGGTTCAGAATGTTACCCGGGTGATATGACCCATAGAACGAACTGTCGGCGTACATGCCCCCTGCAGCGGGCAGCGGATAATCATACCCTCCTTGCATCGCCGCCATGCCGCCCAGACCCGGCGTGAAGCCCGCACCCATGTAGCCGCCATACGCAGCATCGGGCGTCACAGCGTCCACAAGGGCGGTGGAGAAGTAGCCGGGGTCGCCGACAAACGTGGTAGGATCAGGGTACAGTGGGTTCATGATCGGGCTTGTTTCCATGAAATCCGACGCTGTGAAGTCGAACGTCGACTGAGCCACGGGAGGTGTTACCTCAGCCGAGGTCTTCGTAAAGTCAATTGTCGGTCCAGGTAGAAGGGCGTTTGGCACAGCGAGCAATGTAGGAGAAGCTGCCACGGCGCCCGTCTCTCCGGTGTCTGGTGCACAGTGTTAAAGCGTGCAACCCCGAAGTGAAGTGCTAACGTACTGGGTTCGCCCAAAGCCATCTGGTATTGCTCACCACTCGCCCACTGTCCATCACCCATTCCATCGTGGCTAGACAACGCATCTGCGTTGATTTCCCCAGCCACGGCTCCAGCATGGTCGAGCACGTCGCTCGCCTCATGCCTTTTGTCGTGACAATCTTCGCCAACTTCGCCCCCACCCTCGCCCTCGCCCTCGCCCCCGCCCTTGCCCTCGCCCCCGCCCTCGTCCTCGTCCTCGTCCTTGTCCTTGTCCTCGTCCTCGTCCTCGTCCTCATCCGCGTCCGCGTCCTCGTCCTCGCCCTCGTCCTCGTCCTCATCCTCGTCATCTTCGCCCTTGGTCTTGTCCGCGTCTTTGCTGCCCTCGTCCTTGTCCTTGCCGTCCTCGCCTTCGCCCTTGTCCTCGCCTTCGCCGCCCTCGCCGCCGTCCTTGCCAACACCCTCGCCGCCATCATCGCTGTCGGGACTACTGCGATTCAACGCACGATTGATGTGCGCGTAGATCTGCGGAGCTACACAAACGTGAGTAACTGGGCAAGGTCAGGACACAACCGCAACCACATACACATCGCCTGCCTAACCCACGCAAGGAATGCCTTTCCTAGGGCGGCGACGGCCTCCGGGTTGGCCTGGCTGAACGAGATGTTACCAGCAGCGACACCGGAGCTGTGTCTGGGCCCATGGGACGAAACATTTCGTGTCAGTTCGAGCGAAGACCGGGGTTGGTGAATAACCTACGTGTTGATTTCGAAGCGATATCCTCCATCGGGGTTGACACCGCATCCCATAGTGAAAAAGAACCAGCTACCACCTGTCATCGCATGCATGTTGTCGAAGAACTGTGTGAATATAGACCCCATATCGTCGACGACCCTATAGTGGTCATCCTTGTCAGTCCTCCTGCACGTCAAATGCAAGAGGGGAACTTACGCCTGAACGCGATGTGGATCAAACTCTGTGTCCTTAGTACCTTCCGATCCTAAGGCGTTCCTCGCAGCCCTGAGCTTGGCCGCCTCCGCCTCAATCTCCTCCCGCACCTCTGCCGGTTCTTGCGCAAGAAGAGTCTTCGCCAATTCCACCGAGCACTTGAGTCGTTCTTTGGTGCTGATCTCGCCGGAGTCAATCCGAGCCTGCAGGATAGGCTTGATCTTTTCGTCGTAGTTCTTTTGGCTGTAGAGTTCGTGGGCGGCCAGCGAGCGCTTCTTTGACGGTTTGAGCAGCTTGAGGGAGACCTTCGGCTTCGCTCGGGCTTTGCGGCCCTTTTGCCCCGACCGGTTTCCGTACCACGATTTCAGTTGCTAGGAGGTAGTGTCAGCGGAGTCTTAACCAGCCACGTGAATTGCGTCTCGAAGGACACATACCTTCTTCCGGGCTGCAATGGCTGCGCCAACTGCTTTTTTCTGCTCTTCGGACAACAGCTCATCCGCGCTCATGTCCGGAAACAACACTCGCTCCTCGGGAAACGCCGCAAACCAAGTAGTGAATAACTTGGGCCAGAAGCGGAGAAGCTTCTGCTCGAGCTGACGCTCCAGATGCTCCGGAATGAACGACGTCAACAACGCTGCCTGAGGAGGAGTAGCCCACAGCGGAGGGGACATATTGGTTCGATGTACCACAGAGGTGCGTAGCGGGGGCTTCATACATCGCGCTGAGGCTCGCGATATATGACTGAGCGCAGAGGGCAGCAAGATGCACTGGACCGATTAGGGAGAGTGGTGATCACTGCGGCACGATTTGGGTAAGCTTTCTCGTTTAGTATTCATTGATGTAGGCTACCGTGTGCTCATGACAGTTCTGAAGCCACAGGCTCATTGAGCGCAGAGGGGAGGAAGACGCAGTCGGCAGATTAGGGAGAGCGGTGATCACTGCAGCGCGATGGCTACGGATTCGCTTTTGGTGAGCGTTCTCGTTTTGGATTCATTCATGTCAGCTTCATCGGAAAAGGTTAGGCTACCGTATGCTCATGACAGTCCGAGAACCATTGTCTGCTTCCGCTTGGAGCCGGAGGTGATGGTTGCGCCTCAAAGACTCTGGATGCGCTCGTCCACAGAAGGCTGCGAAGGAGCAACGCCACCGCGTGTCGCAGTAGGTTCGTATCCAGTAACTCATATGCTTTAGATCAGATCAGCGAGGACTTCGGCCCCTCGAGGACGCAGTCTCGGGCACCAGACAATACATCGCTCCGTGGGCAGTAGAGGCAAACATCAGTTCATCGAAGATGATGCCGTGAGGTGAGGGCTCCTCTTTTTCAGAACGTTCGAGGGGATCGGTGGAAGGCAATGCCGCCATCTCTTCCAAAATGGTAAAGGTGAGTAACATCTACTCGAATGATATGGCTCATAACGGCTGTGGCGGCGACCTCGGGATATCAAAGGCCAATTCTGTGAGCAATCTAAGCTTACATGGCAACCCACTGCTCAACCCCAGAGCTCGTGGTCCTCAAGTGGCGGCGTCATACCATATGGGTGCACCGCGAGGCATCACTGTCCTCGCGGCGAGTAGCCATACGTCCCAAAGTGTTTAGATGCAGAGTCACCGAGGCTTCCAGAGCCAGAGCCTCTTCGGGCGTACATCAGGCAGTCCAGTCGAATCAGGCAGCCGCCGAGAGGCAAGTGGGTCTCATAAATGATCCTTCTCTGTCGTTTGGGTCGTCCAGTCAACTCCTAGTCCACCGCCTCTGCCCAGTCAACTCCTAGTCCACCGCCTCTGCCCCCAACTCGCCGTCAAGCATGGTAGACCACAAAGACTCGGAGCAGGGAGCTGCGCCCAACCCGGCGAGCCTCTTCACCCTCGAACAAGTTTCGGTTGTCATGCAAACGTCTGTGACGCACCAAGGATCAGGTATACTATCCTCTTTCTGTTGGCGTTCACTTCTGAGCCCTTGCTAACGTCGGTCCCTCAGCTAACCCTACCAGTAACGAGCCTTTGGCTGGCGAGAGTCATGCCGGGCTAGGTGTGTCTCTTCTATTTTTCACTCCGTCATGTACTCACATCTCACCACACCAGCCGAACCGGCTCCAGCGGCCGTGAATGACCGTCGATCACGTTTGCGGTCGAGCGTCGTCGTCGTGGTGCCTGATGATTCTGACGACGACGAAGCCTATGAGGTTGAGGATCGAGGTGTCGGGACCACTCCTGATGACGACGAAGAGTATGAGGTTGCAGATCGAGGCGTCGGGACCACTCGTCCGTCAACCCCCGTTGAGGTCTCCTGCGAGGGGGTAGAAGCAGTCGCTCCTGTGGCGCCAGAGGAGCGTGGCCCCACGCTGTTCGATCGTCTCCCTCAAGATGTCCGAGATGCCCTGGCTGTGTACATCAATCCTAACCCATGCGTCTACTACGCTGTCACGCGGGGCAGGTCGATTGGAATATTCAATCATTGGTATGTGCAACGCCACGGTTGAACAAGCAGGCGTATGCTGACGTGTCGTTCAGGCTTGCGGTGTCCCCCCTTGTTGTAGAGGTACCGGGTTCCAAGTACAAGCGCTGCGATACGTTTGAACTTGCCCTGGACACGTTCCTGGATGCTGTTGAGGCACGCGACCTTGCCATTGTACCCGTACCTTAAGTGCATACTATGTACACGTCCTTCTTGGGGAGCCGGGAGCTTAACGTACCCAGTGTGTGCGCGTGTCGACATTATTCTTGGTCGCAAACAACATATTGTAGTCCAAACGTTGCGTATCAGTAATTTCCTTGTATTGCCCCTTCGCTCGCGTGTCAATCTATGTCGAGTTATGGAATCATCACCGCATATAAGCGGACGCTGCGGAGTATGTCACGCACGTCCGTGCAGTCAATGACGTACCGTTGAGAAGCGCGCATGTAGTACTGCTATTAGTAGTCACATAGTGGGCGACCAAGGCCTTCGAAGTCAACACCATGGGAAGAAAGGCTCGTCATCTCACCCTCGATGAAAAGAAAGCTGCTAAGTGTGAGCAGCAAAAGAAGTATGCACAGTCAGACCGGTACGCCATTCAACTTTGTATTGTACTTTGAGCGTGATGATGCTCAACGCGTTCTCGTTCTCTCGCTCTAAGTGGCCGCGTGCGCAAAGCCGTTCAAAACAAACGGGCTTACACGGCTCGTAAAGGGAACATCATACCTAGTCCCTTCCACCGCGTCATACCCGGTATAGCACAAGATATCCTACGGCTCGCACGTAGACCATGTCCGCTATCCACCGCCCAAGATCCCGAAGCACCAGAGGACCTTGGCCTTTGGACAACGCCGTACATTCTCGAGGTACCTGAGGCGTACGAGGAGGCGGATACCGAATGGGGGGAAATGGACGACTTCTTCCGAGAGAAACCAGCAGAATTACAAGACATGGCTGCTTTCGAGCGATCGTTGCACGCACATCAATTCGCGTGCCTAAAGGAGGCTGGGTTGGCGCGCGTGCGGCAGTGGTCAGATTGCGTTGACAAGGAGGCCGTTGTAACATACTGGAACGGTGAACTGTCTGCACGTTTGCGTGCATGGGAGGATATGAATGCGGATGATAGAGCCAGAGGGAATATTGGGCAGTTGGTCTGGGACATCGGACGCGAATGGGCCGCTAAGATTGTCTGTACCTTGAAAGTGGAGATTGACTTGATGGTGACACCGGAGGATGAGTACAGTACCAGTTACAATGAAGGGCGGCTGCTGTGGCAATGTATGAACGTAGTATCACAAGCGTAAGGAGTATAGATTTGTCCTATGCAGCCGGAGAGAGTTGTGCGTTTTGTGAATACATTGCGGTTCAAGCTTGACGTTCATGCCGGGTACTAATGCATACTTCACTTGCTCCGTCTGTCAACTGCGGTAAATGCAAACAACATGCAGGGCAACTCTCATAGTCATTGGTACTATTGTTCACTCCTGTGGATTCAACTGACCCCCTGTTAGAATTCTATCAGACCACTAGGCCTTCAAGTTGTTTCTTGTCGCTGAGAACAGGTCGACGCTGCATTCAGTGCGTCCGTTATCCTGCATGCCATTGGCTCGTACTTACCCTGGACTCCGGAGTGCACCGGTCTCTATCTAATCTAGAAGCGCACCAGGCGCCACCTGGATCAGAGATCTTGCCTCCGACGCTCCTCTTGCCACGTCCGCGTCAACGTCAAGGGCTTGATGCCGAACCTCAGGCCTTGGGCCTCGCACTACTAGGGAAAAGCAATTCTACTTTACTCTTCTTCTGCTGCTTCGAGGCATGGTATCAGTGCCACACATGACGTCAACCGTTACTGTCTTCTCCGATGAAGGCGACCTCCACCTTCGCCAGGACCATCGTCGCCGCCGTTCCTCCCAGTCCGCATCGAGCCCTACAGTGAGATGCATTACACCAGCCCTCCTATTGCTTCCACTGACAATCCGGCACAGTCAGGATGATATACCGTTCGAGCTATGCAGCCGAGTAGCTACGTAGATTCATCTGTGACATCAAGAGCGCGCAAAAGCTGATCCACTGTACTCGGTGACAGTGCACGCTTCTTTGACCGACCGGATGTAGATTGCGCCGCTCAAGGAAGCTTCTTTCCAGATCACAATACTGTAACCGTGGACTGCTTTGCGTGATACCCATGAAGGGAGTGGAGCCAAGCCCGTGGCTCAGGTGGCGTAAGGGACGCCGGACCAACCACGTCAGGTAGCCGGTGGTCGTATGGATATCTCTGGACAGTGTAAGCAGCGGAGGGAGCTCCAACTGACCGCCGTCAGGCCAAATGGGATTACATATACCACTCCCGCCCTCTGGCACCGGGCCAAGCGGTCTATCGGTATTTTGATCGCTGTTAATAGGTAAGCCACGCATTACTCGGACGTGTTCTTCTGATTGGGATACCACAAGCTAAGCATCGTGTTGTGGCCGACCAGGATTCACGGATGCCAACTATGCCAAGATGCCCAGCCGGATATCGATTATCAAGTCGTCAAGTTGTGGTAGTGCAGGTAATCATTGAGATTGTTCCATGGATCACCGGTGCTAAAGACTTCGAATAGAACCGCGTTCGCTTTTTTCTGATGAAGAAATATGTGCACATGCCAGCTGTCGGGCTCAATCCCCAACCTGGTCAATGCGAGTTGCTTCATTTGTCGCTGCAATCTCCTGTTCAGTGCACACATTCGGCAGCTAACTTATCGCATTCGGACCGAGGTGGACAGGCTCCCCATGCACAGTTTGCCCGCTCGCACCTGGTGATCTCACGCTGTTGTGGCCGGTGAGTATGTTTGAGCTATCATTTGTCTATGCCGACTCAACCAACTGTCCTTTCATGCACTAGCTCAGGCGATCGACATCATGGTCAAGCGTCGACGTGGCCGAGATGGTCTAGAGACCCTCCTTCTCGACGATGACGATGACGACAGAGAGGCAACCGCCCGAAATCGACGACGGCCTGCGCCAACAGCACCTCCACAGGAAGAAGTATATCGTCGAATCGACTACGCCTCTTCAACTGCCCATGTCTCAGCAAGGACGACATATATGTCTGTCGCGGCGTCCTCTGCTTCACACGAAAGACCGAGTGCCACAAAGCCTTCGGATGCGACTCTTCATTCGGTATTCGGAGACTTGGACCTCGGTGATGATCCAGACGAGCCGTTTGAGACCATGCAAATCGAATTCTTCCATGATATTGCGGACTTCGTCGATGAACATGTCAAACGCAAACGAACAGCCGGGGTGAGTATGTGAGGATCTTGAGCTTGAGAATTGACGCGAAATGGTCACACACAGGACAACCCTCTCCGTGAATGGACCCCCGAGATTGATGATTGGCTAGCAGAGATGCTCCGGCTGGAAGGCCGTTGTGGATACTCGGACACCAGCTGTGCCCGATGCGGGTCGGATGAATCACCATTCCGTTGCCACGATTGCTTGGATGGCCGAATGTACTGTCAGAGCTGTGTGCTCTGTCAGCATCAGGCCCTCCCCTTCAAATCAGGAAAAACCGTGCCTACATAAGGTCTCATCAGAGGTCATCTACAAGACATCTTAGGAACGTATAGGACACAAAAGACATAAAATGTTACATAAGACCAAAACATGGCACTTAAGACAAGTCCCCGTCTTATTGTGTCTTTGATATTATGCATAAGAGCACTAATGTACGCAATAAAGACATCTTGTGTCTTATTCAGTCTTAATTGTGTTGTCATTTTGGTCTTTAGTTGCCCTTATTTCACCTACAATATGTACTTCAGTGGGCGTGCTGAAGTACAGTTATGTACAGAATTAAGTCTGCTGATGTCCACTTATGCACATGTACCAGATCACATCATAATATTAGCAGTGCGGGTTGTTGTACAACATATACAGACACATAACTACTGGTATAGCACGATCAACAGATAGGCATAGACTCGAGGTCAGACGGCGCCGGGATGACGACCACGGCTGAGACAGGCAAATAGTAGTAGAGGGGGAGTGGGATACGTAGCAGGCACGCACGTCTGATGTGTAGTAGTACAGAGGATGATAGATATAGTAGCTGCAGGATTGTCGTATGAGTAAGTGTAGATAGAGGTGGTATGGGCATAGAAACACTCGCCTTGGAAATGGGCCGATTCTACTGCTCCTGCCACGCGAAACAGACAAAGTTGATGATGTTCACGGCCTTGATGCGACAGGACAACTACGACATCTTGGTGATGTACCTCTCGCAGTGAGATACAAAGAAACCACTGGACACTGACTGACTTACCACTCATTGCCGAGTTCATCGACCTCACGCTCGCTGCTGGAAGTTTGCTCCCCCGAACTCTCCTGGGCCTTCTTCGCGCCGGACTTCGATCGCGACGGACGTGACGGTCCACTCTCTGCGTTCGCTGCATCCTTCGATGATCCAGCTGCAGTCTTGGACGCCGCAGGAGTCTTTGCCTTGCTGCCTGATGCCACGGCTGGCAAGGTGACGTTCAGCTGGTCGAGGTCGATAGCCGCACCGCCCACACGTTCCCCGTCTTCTTCCTCCTCCTGGTTCTCCTCCACAGCGTCCATATCACCATCCTCGTCCCCTTGCATCTTCGACCTACGTCCCTAGTGAGCAAACCAAGCCATATTGATTGCGAGAAGTTACCTTATATACGACCAGATTAGTGACTGCGTCTCCTGAAGGTATGGCTTGTTATTCATGTACTCCAGTGCACTCATCAGGCTGTCCCATCTTGAATTGCGCCCAACATTTAGTATAGATACCACAAGGTAAGCAGACTTACTTCTTGGCGTAGACCGAGTTCGCAAATTTCAGGTTCACTTCGTTGTCTTCTTCCACCTGCGCGGCGACGTCAGCCAATGCTCCCTCTATCTACACAAGTGCAATGACGTCAGTTGGTTTTGTGCGTGGATTGGAATAGGGCTTACGGCGGTGCACACTAGTGCGATGAGGTTCAGAGGCACCTTCTTGAAGTCTACCATCGCCGCCTTGATGCACGCACCCTCACGTTTGGCGGGCCCCCAGTACAGGTAGATCAGCTCTTGGATTGCCGGGTGCCTGAAAGGTAGCAAGCGGTTGTACTTGCTCATGATGTAATTCATGATCAGCGCTTCCTTCCGTAGTATAGCTAAGGCATTGTACTCACACTCTTCTCCACGGACGAGCCCTGTTCCTTCCCAAGGTTGTGTTCTATCTCCCCGAAGATGAAACGAGGAAGCAAAGCCGTTCGATCGCCCATCTTCACGCTGACCTTGCCGATCAGCCACAACGCAATTGGCCTCCTGTCATCAAGAGAGTATAGGTGAGGGCTCAGGTCGTAAGCCTTCTGGATCACCTGGGACGCCTTCCCCTTGAGCTCGTTTCGAGTTTGAGATAACGCGCGCACGATCTCCGCTATATCAGCTCATGCCAACGCATCAGAAGATCTGTTTGCTTACCAGTTTGTGCATGTCCTGCCTATGACGCTCTCTCTGGCTGTTGTCCTTGCCCTTCCGATCCTGCAACATCCTCCAGGAATCCCGCACCTTCTTGTCGCCTTTCTCATATGCATCTTGAACGCTCGCCTTGATGAGATCATCCACGCTGGGCAGCCGCTTGGAGACGACTGACGGCTCCTTCGTCCAGGCGGACTTCAGAGCGGTGCGGAGGCGCAGCGCATCTTGTGCTGCATGGAAAAGTGGAACAAGCCATGTTGGCAAGTCTGACACCCTGAGGCGCGCGCCCTTGGCCCCACCGGTGCGATACGCCTTGGGACGAGCACCCTTGCCCTTGCGCCTGGAGTCAGACAAGACCTGTAAAGTGTGAGAGATGTCTGCATCATTCAATATGATTGCAGAGATGATTGACACTGACGATCATCCCATCGTCGTCGCTCTGTCCCTCTTCTGCGTGGTCTGTCTCCTCTTCATCCTCCTCATCTCTGTCGTCTTCATACGCCTCTCCTTCCTCTTGATCATCATCCTTGCTGCTGTCGTCCTGATCTGAGTCATCGGATGGTTTGTCATGTGGGCCTGCAGCCGTGCGCTTGGCCTTGTCAGAATTCTTGCGACTATCGTCGCTGGCGGCCGGGGATTTGCTACGCTCGTCATCCGAGTTGTTGTTGGCGCGATTCTTACCCTTGTCCTGCTTCTTCGTGAACGTCACTATGAGTCATGTCACCAAGAGCAAATTACGGAACAGGGTGCGAACCCTTGCAGCCGCATCTGTCGCTCGTGAGGGGGTGTTGACCGACTTGCTCGGAGGAGCCCGAGCGTTCTGTTCTTTTCGTCCGCCGCCTAGCAGGTGGTCATAGTTTGATGTATGCACGATGGCCAAAGGACTTACCCAATGTTCGTGCCAGGTCCTCCTCGTCCGCGTCTAGCGTAGGCGCAGGTTCTGCATGTTGGCCGTACTTCCGCTTTGGCATAGCTAGAGCAGCGTGGTGTTGTGAGTTTCATGTGCCAATGTATATGAATCACATACGCCGTGGCTTCTTGGGCTGCTCGCCCTCGCTGTCAGCCGTCTGGTCTTGCATCACCACGTCAGCTACCTTGTTGCCTTGCGCCGTGTCATTGGCAGGCTCGTCCTCCTCCTGTGCGTTGTCGTTGCGCGAGCGCGACTTCTTCTTCTGGGGCCTTACGTCCTCTTCATCATGCGATGCTTCATCTTCCTCCATCATCTTTGATTTTCTCTTGCGTATCTCTGACACGCACAGCAAAGTGAAGTTGATTAGTGTGTGTTGGAGTAGACAAGGGCACGTACTATCCGTTCGTTCCTCCTTCTCCCTCTGCTTCTCCTGAGCTTTCTGACTTTTCTTCTTAGCTGCGGCGGACGATGTTGCAGCCGCCTTTACCACTTTCTGCTTGTCCTTAGTACCCTTCGAGGCTGTGCTTCGCTGGCCTGCAGGATTCTCTGCTTGTTTCGAGGCAGCGGATCGGGTCATACGTCTGTCCATTTGGGTTGTACGATTTGACCAGGGCGATAGAGTTAAGGCGAGATGATACTCACCGCGAAATGAAACGGAGACCACTCGAGATAATCGAGGGTTCGATTACACACGGTTCAATATGTACCGCCGAGGTAAGCGCCAAATCCGATGAATATATAATATGTCATTCTAAGAGCGTACAAGACATGTGCCACGTCAAACAAAATGTACGTTGTGAGACCATCCATTCCGTTCCTTCAACCACTTAGCCATCTCTCGGTCCGTGTTGAGTACAATAGAACTTCTCTTTCCCTTGTAGTGTAGGTTGAAGTGCGTCAGATCACAGGAAGGGAATAAAATGAAGTCGCCGTTCCATAGAGGTACAATGAGTCCGGGCTCGTAGAGAACGAGTTCACCGCCTTCAAAGTCACCGATGGCAAGGACAAGGCAAATACCGTCGTCCTTGCCGTCTCTGTGTGCTGCCGTGGTGACATTCATATTGACGACCAATCCTAGGAAAGGAGAGGCGAGCGGTCGGTTGTTTCCAGGCAACACCCTGACGTAGGCTTCAAGGTGGTCGTATACATCTGGTGCAATCTCTTGAATCTGAAAGTGCCGGGTACATCTCAGCATTACTAACTCCTTAATGGTTAAGCAACTCACCTTTAAATCCAACCAGTCGAACAGAGGGGCCAGAATTTGTTTCATGGACTGGTAGATCGATTGGTTGGTCGAGTTCGTCATATCCTTGGATGGGTACGGTATGAACTGGTGGTAGTTAGTCTTGAGACCGCCGGTTCTCTTGAGGTTGCTAGGTGGTACGTCATCTGGTGAGCCCTCTCCCTGTATATGAGTGAGTTAGCTGCTTTCCCAGTCCAAAGGCAATGCACTGACCGTCGTACAATGGCGATTATACCATGTGAAGTGCAGCACTTTGAAGACGTGGCTGCCGCCACTCTGCGCTGTGTCCAATGTCTGTATGACATCCGGTTCGAGGCAGGCGGCCAGGCGTCCAAGAAGGTCGGTTCGTAGGCTCTCTGGCATCGACGTGCATATGGTCGCAAGAATGGTGGAGCTTTGAGATTGTACTGTTAGAACATCCCTAAGTGCTTGTGAGAAGCCATATACAGAGTGAAGTAGCGGTGTATCTCACTTGACGAGGTCGCGTTTGATCTTCACATAGCCGTTCTGAGTGGGACGAACACCGTCCACATAAATCGATTTCAACTAGCATACATGAGTCAGAAACGATGGGCACAGGAGTACGTCACTCACCAATGATTCCAGTTCCTCGAGAGTTGCTGGTTCGGTGGCCTTGCTAGCTAGTTCGCGTTGGTTCTGCGTCCAACGTGCGTT